GCCGTGAAAATGAAATCGGGATGGGGTTTACGCGAGTCGCGCCGTATAAGCTCCAGCGGCCCCCGCAATCTCGGTGGCGTAATGCAGCGCGGCTGCCATAGTGCCGCGCGCAACCTGATTATGTCCATTTGTTGCCCACTCGAAACCCCCAGGCGATATCGCGCAACTTAATCTACCTGAGTTAGTTGCGCGTGTTCCTCGTGGGATCGGCTAAGATTTATCTTCTTGAAATATTTTCTCCCGGCTTTCCAACACTATCGAGTTCAAGACTAACGCGCGCGCGCGCGCTCCGGGAAGCGAGAAAGACAGAGCAATAGAGAGAGAGCAATAGAGAGAGAGAGAGAGAGAGAGAGAAATACTCACCTTTCTCGACATGTTCATGCACCCTTGCTGTCCCTCTCTTTCTCTCTCTTTCTCTCTCCTTCTCTCTCTCTCTCTCTCTCTCTCTCTCTCTCTCTCTCTCTCTCTCGCGCTATATCGGCACGGGGCTCGTTCTTGTTTTACGTGTGCGGCATTCCCGCGAGTATAGCCCGGATAGTAGACTGCGACTGATAAAGCGACGTATAAATATCCCCGACGACTTTGCGTCCCGACTATTTCGCGACGCTTTACACGGCAGGCAATAGAGACCCGTGTCCATCGGAAGCTCGCGATTTTCCGGCTGGCCGGTCGCGTCATCCATCCCGAGCGGGCCATTTAATTGGCTGGAGCCGAGAACTATATCGTGGCGTTTGTGTAATATTGAAGTCCCCGTTAGGAAGTCGTTCGCTTGGTTTTTACGACGCGTCGGATCGCGCTTTTGATGCGAGAACAAGGGGTGTGTGTGCGCGCGCACGCCCGCATCGACACGTACCTGCTCGAAGTTTCACATTCGCGCGAACAAAGTGGACGATTCGGTGAAATGACACGAGTTATGTCGATACGAAAATTTACAACGCAGGTAAGGGATTTTAAATAAATGATAAGTGATAAATAATGAACAAATAATTAATATATCCTCGTACAGTTCATAATACCTGATAAATTCACGCTAAAATACAGAAAACTGGCGAGTTAGTTAGTTTTCTTTCTCCTGTAATACGAATAAATCGAGAATATATTTAGGGGAGATCGGGGCTAATTGACTACGGGATAAGTTGGAAAAATCGGTTAGTTTTAATATTTTCTAGCAAGTAACAAAATTAAACAAACAAGATTTCTAAATATGTCAAGGATAACTTTGAAATCCCTGCTCTTGCTTGATTCTGAAATCTGTTAAGAAACAGTAGAAATAATGGATTTTGCCAAATAGCCTCCGGTTTCATCTTGCGGAGGAGGGAATGTGTCGAGTGCAATGGAATTCAAATCGTACAAGTAACACGCTACCATTAGGTAACGATATGCGCGTCGACACAGCTATTCGAAGTTCGCATGACCGAAGTAGATAATTTACTTCGATAAAGTAACATGAGTTGCCGCTGTATCAATACGAAAATTCAACGTAGGAAAGACGCGAGACGTTCCAGCAAAAGAGACGATAAAGTGACAAGTGCTTCCTTCGTTTGGCGGGACTCACTCGCGTGCGGAATTATTAAGAGTTTGTGAACAGAATATAACTGTCGAGGGAATATATTTGCATCTTTTGGGGGAATGTACAAAGTGCAATGAAACTGAAATCGCGCGCGTAACGCGCTACCATTAAGTAGAGCGATATGTCGCGCGACGGACGACGGGGACATCTTGAAGCGCAAGTGGTAACGCGTTTACTTAGTCAGACACGATTCTCCACTTTAGCCGAGCTTAACGTCTGATAATAAAATGGAATACAGAGGGATTAATTCGATTTCGCGGATGCCCCGCTTAATACACGGCGACTGTCATTATCAGTTTCTCTGCCGGGTGTTAGTCTTTCGGCCGTAAGACCCGGGGCACGGAGTAGAAAGTTACTTAATCTTCTTACTACGCTTATACCCCTCGACTCCGCTCGCGATGCCGCCTTAAACTTCGACTACTAGCATTTCAATGTACGTATGTATTCACGAAACGCTAAGCTGTCGCTAAACCGTATCACGAGCGTTCGCGTCTTGCTTCGACGCCTCGTTCGCGAGAATACAGATTGTACGTCCCCATTACGAATCCCCCGAGGTCTCAGTTTCATTATGAGTCCTCGATGAACAGACGAACGGCGTATGTTTGTGCACACAGGCGCGTGTATCACGCCATCTATTCTATCGTCGCAGACAGAGAGACATTTTTGTCGTTAATATTTCTCGGGACATATCGCTAAAGCGATAATGCAGTCATATGAGGGATTTAATATTCAATGTGTCTCGTGGATGAATGGAAATACACGTCGATCGAGAAATTGAAAGTCGTATTATTGGAGCGCTTTGATCGTCAAAGAGCCGAAGACACCAAAGCAGTAGTAGAACTGTCTATAAAGTCAGACCATCTTTCCTATTCGCTGCTACAGGCAGAAATTTCCTGACTCCACCGTGCGATTTTTGCTAAAAACGACTGAGGCATAAAAGAGTGAAAACATTTCCCGACAACAATTGAATATATCTTTAAAATTTTATAATACGAGGGAGAGGGGATAATAACGGAGAAAGTTACTTAGTTGTTACATGTAGGAACTGAAACTAGAAAAACAACAGAAATGAACATGTTAATAACAATTCAGGAGGAAATAAGATATCTTGGAATTTTTCACAATGTTAATACACAATCTTTAATTTTTTATTTAATGTAACTGATATACTCGTATAAAATTTAATTTAATTAAATTAAAATCTTATAAATATCTTCCTCAAAGTACTTTTGTATTTCCGTTCACAATGTGTCCTTTACATCATACGTAAGACACTACTCTCCTTTCCTTCTCTTTCTCTCTCTTCTTCGTTTCTGCTTCTTCGCCTCTTCTTCACGTTTTCTCCCTTTTACCGCGTTTCATGCGCTTCCCCTCCCTCGAGTGTACAGTGCTTCGGATCTGAATATTTCGCTTCTTTAAAGAGGTCTTATCGCGAAGCAAGCGCGAGCGTGGTTGCGCCATTGCACGACGTCGGATATGACGATAGGTACGTATATCTGACAGAGCTTGTTCGCGAGCGTGATATCGAATTGCGTAGTCATACGTGAAGGCAGACGGATGACGCATCCGATCGCCTGAGGAAATTCAGCTCCTTGTGTATCTATCCGAGGTACAAGATTTTTCGGGAGACGGGGACGAGAATGCACGCACGTGTGAGTGCTCGAGAGGAATTTTACAGATCATGATCCGCCGCGACAGAAAGAGAGAGAGAGAGAGAGTAAGACGGCGCATCGAGGGTTGGAGAGCGAGTAGGTACCTGGCGTCGACGGATCCGTATTATAAATCTGTCTGCGGGATCCGCGCGGTTATTTCTTGGTAGATATCCCCGAGATACGATTCCGCCGTGCGGGAAGTGCGCCGATAATAATCGTCGCATTAAACCTCGCCTGTGGCATGCTGATTTCACATGTTTGACATTGATATTCCATGGCTGGAGTTTGCAATAGACATGTTCCTCTCTCTCTTTCTCCCTGTCGCATTTTTTAATTTTTTAATTTATATTTATAATGGAAACGATATATATATATATATATATATATATATATATATATATATATACACAATATATAAAATATAGGGAAAAGGACGATAACAGCTAAAATTGCAAATGTAATTTTCATATAATTTGCATATTTGCATATTATTGTGACCACAAAATTACGAAAAAATCGATACGAGTATAATAAACCCATTACATTGAAAGAGAAATATTTGGTACTTGTAACTATAACCGTATAGTGAAAGGATTATAGTCAGAACTATTTTTGTCATATTAGTATTAATGATAATAATTTGATGTGTGCATTGTAAAGAGTTTCGTGTTAAATTTAATACTTTTTATATGTCCAGAACGGTATATTTATTATTTCGAAGTAAATTTTACATAAAATTAATATTTTTATAGAGAGTGTCAAATGTAATACAACAAAAATATTATTTTCACAGAGAGAAAAATATTATGTTTACCTTTTTTTATTGCGTTGCTTTTAAAATGTTACTAATTTTATTTAAAAAGTTTTTTTAATTAAGTGCTCTCTAAATTGATTCACATTTAATTTAATTAATATCACATTTGGAAAGTTTCTTGTCATAGATGGGGTCGAACTTGGGAACCTTGCCTTTTGAGAGTTATTTACTTTACCTACTACTTTAATTACAGATATACATTATATTGATATATTATATTGATATATTTGCATATATCATTACATTGCATATAATTACGTTTTTGTCAGATGACAAAAACACAATTTTTCGTAATTTTGAAATTAACATTTATAATGAGTTAATCTGTAGTGAACATCCCGTGTGATGTATTTTTGAAAATTGCCATACGGTAAAAAATATTTTGTATTTGTGTTGAAGAGCTGATCCTTGTTAATATTTTTCCGTTAAACTTTTAACACATCCATATGTTAATTTAATATAGAATTTTTGTGTTATCCTAATAAATTTTGTGTTAAAATTTATTAGGATAACACAAAAATTCTATATTAAATTAACATATGGATGTGTTAAAAGTTTAACGGAAAAATATTAACAAGGATCAGCTCTTCAACACAAATACAAAATATTTTTTACCGTGTGGAAATTTTCAAAAATATATCACACGGGACGCTACGATCACTACACGCGACGATGCCGGACTCCGCGTTGGCGTTTCGCCGATGCGGGCGCGAGCTGTTCTACGGCGAAATTATACTGTCTCCGAAGTTTTTACAAAAAACGGATTCAGCCGACTGCGCGATATTTCATGTAAAGAAGACGCGACCGTGGTCAATGTCCTCAACTTATAACGAAGGGCTGCACGTGCCGTAGTTCGCGATCGGTCGATTCATCGGGCTAGGTGGAGGGAAACTTTGCCGGCGGCATGGTACAGCTTTTTCATAATTGATCGTTCAATCGATACGCTTCGCTATTCTGCTTCCAGGACTCGAGGCCGAGTTGTACTACGTGCGAGAAGGGGTGGTCAACACTTACGCGATGAATTTCATCGTTCCTGTGCCGGCCAACATAGCGGACCTTGAATTCTCATGGCAAAGCCTCGCAGGACACCCGGTATGTATGCTCGCAACAGAGAGAGAAAGAGGGAGGGATACCTATAACGAAATCGAATGACAAGTCCACGAATAGAAATTTCAACGCCGATTTAAACAGTCGTCCCCTTTGCTATCGACATTTTTTCTGTTTTCGAAAAGCGATTTGTTCCTTTAATAAATTTATACGCAGCGCGCTGTACAAACGCCGTTGCGCACATACACACGAGAAAAATGCACGTCCCTCCCTGAGAAAGGACTTCCTTCGTCGCCCGTACTGAACCCGCTCGAGAGAGCCGTCTTCTCGGTTCCCAAAAGAAATCACAACTCGCCGCGGCGAATGCGTATTCGCGGCCGCCGCAGAGGGTGGAAACGGGATCCTCTCCTGTGTGTTCGAGCGAACCGTTTCCGAGACGGCCATTAACGAGACGCAACAATGCGGAACAAAGTAAACACGTGACCCGGCTGGAATGGTAACACACGGCATCCTCGTTTACGTTCCGCTGCGGGATGGTGGCCCGTCACGGCGGTTTACCGGGGGGTGTTCGCCGAGGGTTAAGAGCTCGGGCTTTCGGCACGCCGGGGTGAGGCACGACGGTGCAGGGCTGTATCAATACTCTATCAATATGAAATACAAACAGATGGCGTGGGCGTGAAAGGGACGAAGCGAGCCGGTGCACGCCGTGCGGTTCGGTTTTGCGCTCCCTTCGGTCACCAAGGAAACCGTGCGCGCCCTCGAAACCCTCGCGACGTGGCAGACGTGGAAAAACGCGAAAAGTCGCCGCGCGCTCTCTCCCTCGAGCGCACGCTAAACGACATGGAAATCGGCGGTGTTGCGACCACCGCTACCTGATATTTCATTCACCGAAGCGACTGCTGCGTTTCCAGCCTATTATTTAGCTTCCGCCGCGAAATCTATAACCGCTGTATCGCACTTGCTCCTTCTCGTTCGACATTCGCGAGGTAGTCTTGGACGTTTTGGAATTGCAAAAAGTGTCGCACGGATTAGTATTTAGGATCTAACGATTGCACTGGTCTATGAAAACTTTTTGGCCACGTAGGTCAAGTTGTATGATAATTTTCTAAACATGATACCAATTGAATCAATTAGAGGACATATAATCAGGAAAATTCTCCAAATAAGATCACATTGACAACACTTTAAAGGCAACGCAATGGAAAAAGAAGATACGCATAAAAATACATAAGAAACACGTCGGAAATCTTGTGCAAGAAATTGACCTGTTGACCAGTTTTATCGTAGATTACTGTATTCTATAATGTTCGCAAGCTTGCAAGTTCCATCATTATTTTTTCTGGGACCATTTCTAGAAAATTAGCATCGGGTAAATCGGTACATTTCCACAGATCCAACACGCGACACGGGACGAGAATGAAGAAGAAGCTTTTCCACCTGGCGGGGGGTCGTATTCCTTTCCACTTACGCGATCGTAAAGTTAGTCTCAACGACACGGGCGAACTCGTACTTGTCAGCAGCCGGTGCTCGTGGATTTATTGAATCTCGAGATTTTCGGGACGAGTGCCCGTAAATGGCGGAAACGTTCGTGCTGCGAATCGCAGGTCCGCAGGACCTGGACGCAGGACGAGACGACCGCGTGCTCGTCGCGATCGTTGTGAAAGGCAGCCGTCGTCTACCCGCTCGTAGATGTACGCCCGGTGCATTTACGGTGGGCGCTTTATTGTCGTTGCGGGAATACCACCTCGTCGACGATCCACCTCATCCCGCGGGGAGTGTTTTCCAACCCTCCACTTTCGCCCGTTATCTCGTGGACCTATCCGTAGGTTCGTTAACCGCAAAATCGTACCGTTTCCGTGATCACGAGTCCGTCGTTTCGCCTTATCTCCCGAGCGCTTTCGATACCGCGAAAGAGTCTCGCTCTGGAGAGCCACGACAGACGGCGAAAGAACGTGATGTGGCCGTAACGGGACGAGAACGCGCGCGGAAATTGATTACTTAATCTCTCGCGCTGATTCGATAAAGCGCCGGTCGAGCGTTTAATTGTTATTGGATTGTTTTAATCGCAAATGGATTTTAAGGGGAGATGTTGGAAGGCGTTGAAAAAGAGAATTTATGAAAAAAGAGAGAGAGAGATGTATTAGTAAATTTTTGCAATCAGACGTGCACAATATACTACACAAAATCTATATCTAGGATAAAATCCTCCAGTTGTCGGAAACATCCGACTATCGGATGTTTTATCCACCCAGACAGACTTTGATAATTACCACAACGTGAGACAATCCACGATGGAAACTTTATAATACTTTTTAATTACGTTTATGGGATAAATATATTCTATTGAATTATTTATTAAATTTGCATATTATAGTGTTAGTTTTTTCTTATATTGATGCAGTAACAAATTTATCAAAAATTATTCTGAGGTTTTCAAAATTTTAATTTATTAAAAGTTACTCTCAGATTTTCATGTTAATTAAATTTTACATGACATTGTTTCGAGTAAATTGTGATAATTTTTTTTCACATGTCTTATGTTATAATAATCATGAAAGTCTATTTGAGTATACACATCTTAATGTGTGATAAAATTCGTGTTGAAAAACTGGGCGTTTTACTCTCTTAGATAGACTTTCATAATTATCACGATGTGAAGAAATCGACGATGAAGACTATGATCCTTTTAGTTACATTTATGAAGCAAAAATATACTCTATTGAATAAATTAATAAGTGTACATCATATCATAATATGAGAATTATATTAAGATATACCATAATAAATTGTTTTGATGCAGAAACAGATTTACGTATATCTGTCTATATATCTGAGCTGTTGGTAAAACTATTCTTTCGTGAGCCACAATATGTATATATGTGTGCGTGCGTGTGTGTGTTTAATCTTCATTTGTTGCCTGCTAAAATCGATACAGCAAATGTCGCTCAGATACATCTAGGAATATGAGATATCTTGCTTCACGCTATGTTCAGCAGCGCTTCGATTAAACGCGGTGTTATCTGGCTTTATCACTCCATCGGAGCGAAAACTTTTCTTCTGCCGAGGGAACCCTCCGGGAATCTTTTGTGATTCACCAGAGGGCGTCGCTCCGGTTCGCGCGCGTATCTGCGTTTTCTGATCAGCCGAGAGTATCTCGGATATCGCGATGTGTGTTCCATCTAATCCGGTCATCTGGACCGACCGAAGCCCAACCGCATCCCGATGAGTCATGACACTTTGTTACTCGCTTATCCAACGACGTCATCTATGCGCGCGATTCCTGTCCGCGAACGAATCGATCGGGTGTATCGTGGCGAGAGTGTCCTCGTGTATAATTCCTCCGGCGTGCCGACGGCGACGCGATGTTGACGGGGTCGTGTCATCGACAACACGCTGTTGACGACGCGGATAAGAAGGAAACGCTATTTTTCACTTTTAAGATGTCTCATCGGCAAAGGAGATTGCCCTCGGAAGACGTCGTGGTGACAGTGAAAAATGAAACGAAGCGAGCACATCGGAGCAAAGGGAAAAAGAAGGGAGAGAGGAATAATAAAAAAGTATAAAGAAAAAACAAAAGAAAGGAAGGAGCGGAAAAACGAGAGAAAATGGAGAGGCAAGGCGGGAGGTAACGCGAAAGCGGAAGCAACCTGGAGCAATAGCGTTCTCGATTAGGTTCCGCGATTCTCACACAACGGCGCATCGGAGAGCGGCGTTGCGCGTTTACTTCTTCCCCATTATCTCTCTCTCTCTCTCTCTCTCCCTCCTTCTCCTCTGTTTTCAATTCGTCGCCTGCAGCGAGTAGGGGAGTTATTGGTCGTTCTCTCTTGGCGAGGATATAGACTGAAACGAAGTTTCTCATCGGCCCGGGGTGACGTCGCAGCGAATCGGGGATGATTTGTGAATCATCCACTTGTTAGGCGAAAGTTCCTCGCTACTTTTTCCCTCGAGCCGGGCTACGGCGATGGGGGTCGCGGGAAACGTGGAAGGGTGCCGCGCACACAGTCCAGGCAGTACACGTCGCCGTTCTCTCCTTCTGCCTCGGAGCTCGCTTTCAGACCTTTTGCCGATATCCTCCTTTTTTTCTTGCTTTTCCTCCTTCGCTCAGAGTCCGTTTTCTCCTTTTTCATACATTCCGCGTTATTTTCCTTCGCGTTCTTACCGCGCTTATACGTTCGCCTCTTTCCTCATTTTTGCGCGCTATGTTTCTTACCGCGTTGTTTCCTTTTCCTTTTTATTTTTTCTTCCTTTTTATTTTCTTTTTTCCTTTTTCTCTCCTGCTTCGTTCCCTCTGTCATCTATTTTTCCCGCACTCCACTTCCTTTCTCCCTCGTTTCGTCTCCGCTCGAGATCGGGTTGGGGGCTGGGACGGATATAGGGTCGATTCGCGCCCTCCCCTGGGCGACAATTACTTGTAATACCGTTGGTCTCTCGGGGCCGATGGGAACTCGATGGGGCGTACTCCTCGTAAGAAAAAAAGATATTACTGTAACCCACATCGAGTCCGGCAACACTCCCTTACGTTGGGAAGGGCGCGACCTGTCGCCCTTGTCTCATCATCCTTGACGTGTCTGATGATCTGTCAGGGGCGCTCCTCTTCGATTAGACGTACGTATGTCTTGTCTGTCGTTTCTGCGAACGACGCACTTATATAATTGAAGTGCGCAGAGCCTTAATTGGGCCGTGTGGACGCTGTAACTCGCGTTTGACAGCAAAGTATTGACTGAAGTTGAGATGTCGCAAACATAAAATATCACTTTATTTATTTATTTGACTGATTCGCAAGGATTAATTGAAAAATTTTAATACTAATAAAAGTCAGCGCAGGAAATCTTTGGTGCACGGAAAAAAAGGTTGGTTGAATTAACCAAATATCTGGTCGAATATGAACGATTCAGAAATTCCGATTGAAGTAAACCGAATTCTGTTTAAGTCAACTAAACATCTTGTTAACTTAAACAGAATTCGGATTACTTCAATCGAAATTTCTGGATCGTTCATAATCGACCAGATATTTGGTTAATTCAACCAAACCTTTTTTTCCGTGT